GGAAGGAGGGGGGGGCCAGTGGGGGGTGGGGGCCATTGGGGGGGGGGGGGGGGCAGGAGCGGCTTCGTGAGGTGCACTTTTAGGGGGCAAGATGCACATGTGGCTTGTGAGCTTCAGGTTGGCCATGGCTGTACTAGTCACTCCAATCATTGGCTCTTACTGCAGTGACTGCTTTGGTCACCTTTTAAATTCATATAAGACTGAATGTGCCATATTTACTACGTTCTCCTTCCCTCCTAAGTTTGAGACAAAGTTCACTAAAGAATTGCAGTCACTGTTATGGCCTCCAATAATAAGGTGCAAGTTGGACATTGTTTAATAATTCTATTCTGTCCAAGTATTGAGGATGTGTGACTCTCCATACAAACTATGTAACCTGTGTTCTATCTTGACAGTCCTTCTTTCTCTCAGGCTACAGCTACTGTTTTATTTTTTGGAAGAAGATTTGCAAATAGCACTTGCATTTGCATATCTTCTTCCTTTTTTTTTGTTTTTTTTGCAGAAGAGGTTTTTCCGATATTTGGCCCCATGTGGATGGGACCAAATGTCGGAAGAAACCCCTCTTGCGCAAGACCCCTTATTCTTTATAAATTGAGGTTTACAGGGCCTTGCAAAAGAGGGTTTTTTCCTGACGTTTGGCCCCATCTACACTGGGCCAAATATCGGAAAAACCTATTCCACAAAAATAATCGGAAGAAGTTATGCAAATTCAAGTGCAATTTGCATATTTTTTTTTCAAACACTGAAGTTACGGCAACACTGCCATTTTTTTTTTTTTTTTTTTGCAAGTATAGCCCATGTTTAACTCTCATGAGTGCTGCAACGATATTTGTATTTTTACTGGCAGGCTCTACTAAATTACTGCTCAGCAAGACTTCCAGAACCTGAAATGTTGCAGTTTAGTTAACTGGATGTGTAAAAACGTATTTATTATTGTTATAGCCACTGACTGACTTGTCACTGAGCTGTTTCTTTTGATGTTGAATAGTAACTTCTTAATAGAATGAAAATTGTGTGTCTTGTTGACCTTAATATTTTCAAATGTAAATTTACACAGATTTGGCAGCTGATCAGAAGCTTCTTCATCTGGTCTCCAATGACTCCTTTGTCTCCATCCAGCCTTCATTCTCCTCTGGACAGGATTTTCCAAGGGACAACAGCGATAAAGTGTGCCTCCCTAACAACCATCATGTGGATCAGTCTCTGTCTAGCGCATGTGACACTGAAGTGGCTTCTCTTGTACCTTTGCATTCCCACTCCTATAGAAAAGATCACAGACCACGAGGTGTGCCAAGGACATCCAGCTCTGCTGTTGCTTTTCCAGATGCTTCTCTAAATGACTTCCCCCTCTATCAACAAAGACGAGGACTAGATCCAGTCAGTGAGTTGGAAGCTTCCAAACCCCATTGTGAATCAAAAGAATCCTTAGCTGAGAACTCTTGTATTTCAGGAGTCTTTCAGTTAGATGACATCCTGAAAAGTAGCAGCCCCCAGCAGCTGGCCAAGAGCGGGAAAAGCAAATCTCTGAAAGCCGAGAAAAGCGTGGACAGTCTGAGAAGCCTGAGTGGTAGGAGTAGTGGTTCAACAGAAAGCTATTGCAGTGGAATTGATCGCGATACAAATAGTACATTCAGTAGCTACAAAAGTGAGCAGACGAGCTCAACTCATGTAGAAAATGTGTTGTCAGAGCATGAAGAGATTCCTAGAGAAGAGAGAGAGAACAGCAAGAAAAAGGACTGCTGTGTTGACTCGGAAGATGACAGTAGCTCTGCTACTGATAAAAGATCTAGCAGTGAAAGGACTGCTGTAGAAATGAGCACTAATAGTGGTGTTCAAGAGGCAAAGGATTCTAATACATCTGATGAGATACACAGTCAAAGGGGTCTTGGTGTGTCTGCTTCAGAAGAAGCCAATAAGAATCCACATGCCAATGAACTAACTACACAAGTAGACAGGCCACCTGGGAAGGCTGCTGATACAAGAGATAATCAGAGTGAGAAATTGACTGTCTTAGTTGATTCAAGAACTTGTAAAGAAATGGATGGTAAACAAAAGGAAGGAGACGTCCGACCTAAATCCTCTAGCTTAATCCACCGGACAGCCTCTGTTCATAAATCGAGCAGGAGACGGACAGGAAAAAAGCGGGCTAGTAGTTTTGACTCAAGCCGACATAGGGAATATGTTTCCTTTCGAGGTGTATCTGCAACCAAACCCCAGAGTGCTGTGTTTTGTCATGACGAGGACTCCAGTGATCAGAGTGACTTGAGCAGGACCTCGAGCATGCAGTCAGCACACCAGTTCAGCAGTGATAGCTCTTCCAGCACCACTTCCCATTCATGCCAGTCCCCTGAGGGCAAATACAGTGCTCTAAAGACCAAATACATTAAAGAAAGAGGAGGTACAGACTCTAATGCCCGTAAATCCCACTTAGGCTCTGAAGGAATTAGCAAAAAACGCTCAACACGTCGAACTTCTAATACTAACAGTATGAAGAGTCGTGCCAGAGTATTAAGTCTGGACAGTGGTACTATAGCCTGTTTAAATAACCCAAATAGCTTAATGGCACCAAGTAACATAAAACAACTAACCACTTCAAAATCAGATTTGGAGGCCAAAGAGGGAGAGGTGCTAGATGAGCTATCTCTATTGGGAAGGGCTTCACATTTAGAGTCAGTCACTCGTTCTAGGAATAGTTTGCCAAGCCAAGCTATATTTCCTGAAGGGGAAGAGCAAGAATCAGCAAGTGGAGGTAAGTAATAAATTTAGTGGAGGTAAAATTACCACGTTACTAAATTTGCTATCCATGATTACTTGCTTTTTGACTTATTACATGAACTATGCTCCAGTTCTTCATCCTGTTCTGGTTTTAGTTTTACTAGAGACAAAAGCTTCTCCATGGAAGTTTTGTGTGTTAAAGGATGTAAAGCTTTTGGGACTGTGTGTAAGGGAATAATGCAATATTATGGAATCTATTGTTTTGTTTTACTAGAACTGTGTTTTTTAGGTTACATCATCATAACTGAGGTTATACCTGCTTCACCGTTGCCCTCAAAACTAATTAAAAGAATCCCGTGTAAAATTATGAAGCTTTTTTTTAAAAAAAAACCTTTGTGCTACTTGAAATTGCAGGAATAACTCTTTGGTGTCTGATTGCAATTGTCTAGCATTTCTTGGCACTACACTTCTTTAAAAAAAATCTACCCTTGTTTTGGATACGGATGTGAATGGGTAACTGGATACCTGGTAAGCATCACCCTTAATGGGTGATGCTTACTGGGTAATAATTGTTACTCAGGAACAGCTCTCCCCTAACCTTTCCTGCTGCTTCTGCTCTGTGCAAGGCTGCTGACTCCCAGCCTACAAGCCTATGCAGGCTGGGAGCTGGCAGTCCTTCCCTCTTCCCCTCACATTGCTGTTTCCTGCCCTTCCCTCTCCACTTGTGAGGCGGTTAACTCCCAGGCTGCCCTGTCACATAAACTAGGAGCCAGCAGCCCCTGCTACTCCAGCCGGGAAGGGGGGAAGGACAGGGCACTAGCCCCTCGGGCTGGAATGGTGTCATTCCCTCTCCTCTCCCCCCGTTCAGTCGTTTTAACCTGTTAAACTTTTACATTTACCCAGTTAACTAATTAAATGTGATTTTTATATCCCTAGTTTTGGATTGCTTTTTCTCATAACAGTTGAGTTACCTTACTAAATCTTTATAGAATGATACAACTGGAAGGTCTCCTAAGAGATCAAGTCTAGTCTTCATGGCAGGACCAAGCACCATCTAGATTCTCTGACAGGAGTTTGTATAACCTGCTCTGTAAAATTTCCAATAATAGAGATTCCACAACATCCCTGAGCAATTTATTCCATCCCTAACTTACCAGTTAGGAAGTTTTTTCCTAATGTCCAGCCTAAACCTCCCTTGCTGCAATTTAAGCCAATTGCTGCTTGTCCTATCATCGGAGGCCAAGGAGAATAATTTTTCTCCCTCCTCATTGTAACAACCTTTTAGGTAGTTGTAAATTGCTATCATGTTCCCTCTGTCATCGTCTTCTTTAAGTTTAGACTAAACAAACCCAGTTTTGTTTAGTCTTCCCTTATAGGTCATGTTTTCTAGACCTTTAATCATTTTTCTTGCTCTTCTCTGGACATTCTCCAATTTGTCCACTTCTTTCCTGAAATGCAATGCCCCGAATTGGACACGACACTCTTGTTGAGGCCTAAGCAGAATGGAGTAAAGTGGAAGAATTACTTTTCATGTCCGGCTAATACAGCCCAGAATGACACTTGCTACTTTTGCAACAGTATTTACCTTGTGGTCCACTTTCACCCCTTGATCCTTTTTCTGTGGTACTCCTTCCTAAACAGTCATTTCTGTGTGTGTAATTGTGGTTGTGATTGTGATTGTTCCCTCCTAAGTGGAATACTTCATAAGAACGACTATACTGGGTCAGACCAATGGTCCATCTAACCCAGTATCCTGTCTGCCGATAGTGGCCAATACCAGATGCCCTAGAGAGAGGGAACACAACAGGTAATCCTCACGTGATCCTTTCCCTGTCACTCACCTCTGGAGAAACAGGCTAGGGACACCATTCCTACCCATTCTGGCTAATAGCCATTGATGGACCTAACCTCCATGAATCTATCTAGCTCTTTTTTGAAACCTGTTAAAGCCCTAGACTTCACCATATCCTCTGGCAAGGAGTTCTTCAGGTTGACTGTGCACTGAGTGAAGAAAAACTTCCTTTTGTATGTTTTAAACCTGCTACATATTAATTTCATTTGGTGACCCCTAGTTCTTATATTCGTCTTCTCTTTTCTAAGATGAAAAGTCCAAGTCTTTTTAATATCTCTTCATATGGGACCCATTCCAAACCTCTAATCATTTTTGTTACCTTTTTCTGAACCTTTTCCAATGCCAATATATTTTTGAAGTCAAGTTACCACATCTCTATGCAGTATTCAAGACATGGGTGTACCATGATTTTATGTAGAGGCAATATGATATTTTCTGTCTTATTCTCTATCCCTTTTAAAATTATTCCTAACATTCTATTTGCTTTTTTGACCGCTGCTGCAGACTGAGTATATGTTTTTAGAGAACTATCCACAATGACTCCAAGATCTCTCTCTTGAGTAGTGGTAACCAAATCAGTTCCCCTACTTTCGTATGTGTAGTTGGGATTATTTTTTCTAATGTGCATTACTTTACATTTATCAGCATTGAATTTCATTTGCCATTTTGTTGTCCAATCACTTAGTTTGGTGAGATTTTTGTGAAGCTCTTCAGTCTGTTTTGGTCTTAACTATCTTGAACACTTTATGTGTCTAACAATTTAATTCTTCACTATAGTTTCAACTAATTTGCCTGGAACTGACATTAAACTTACTGGTCTGTAATTGCCAGGTCACCTCTAGAGACCTTTTTAAATATTGACGTCATGTTAGCTATCTTCCAATCATTAGGTATGGAAGCTGATGTTAAAGGATAGGTTACAAACCACAATTAATAGTTCCGCAATTTCGCATTTGAGTTTTCAGAACTCTTGGGTAAATGCCATCTGGTCCCAGTGACTTGTTACTGTTAAGTTTATCAGTTTGTTCCAAAACCACCTCTAGAGACACCTCAATCTGGGACAATTCCTCAGATTTGTCACCTAAAAGGAACGGCTGAGGTTTCGGAATTTCCCCAATTTCCTCAGCTGTGAACATCGAAGCAAAGAATTCATTTAGCTTCTCTGCAATGATTTTATGATCTTTGAGTGCTCCTTTAGCATCTCGAATGTCCAAGGGTCCCACTGGTTGGCTAGCCAGCTTCCTGCTTCTGATGTACTTTAACATTTCGCTATTGCTTTTTGAGGTTTTGGCTAGCTGTTCTTCAAACTCTTTTTAAACTTTTCTTATATTTTTACACTTAATTTGACAAAGTTTATGCTCCTTTTTATTTTCCTCACTAGGATTTGACATCCATGTTTTAAAAGATGTCTTATTTGTCACTGCTTTTTTTTTTTTTTTTTTAAACTTGGTTAAGCCATGGTGGCACTTTTTTGGTTCTCTTACTATGTTTTTTAATTTGGGGTTATACATTTAAGTTGGACCTCTCTTATGGTGTCTTTGAAAAGTTTCAATGCAGCTTGCAGGGATTTTACTTTAGTCACTGTACCTCTTAATTTCTGTTTAACTTCCTCACTTTTGTGTAGTTCCCCTTTCTGAAATTAAATGCTACAATGTTGGGCTGCTGAGGTGTTTTTTCCACCACAGGGATGTTAAATTTTATTACATTATGGTCACGGTTTCCAAGAGGTCCAGTTATATTTACCTCTTGAACCAGATCTTGTGTTCCACTTAGGACTCAATCAAAAATAGCCTTTCCTCTTGTGGATTCCAGAACCAGATGCTCCAAGAAGCAGTCATTTAAAGTATCAGGTACTTCACATTTGTCCTTATTGAATTTCATCCTATTTTCCTCAGAGCTTTTCTTGAATTTGTTCAGATTGTGTTGAATTATAATCCTGTTTTCCAAAGCACTTGGGACCCCTCCCAATTTGGTGTCTCCCACAAACATAAGTGCCATTATAAAAAACACTGATGAAGTTATTGAGCGGAACCAGATCCCAAACTGATGCCCATGGAACCCCACTCGTTTGCCTTTCCTTTGACTGTGAACCATTAATAACTACCCTTTGGGAAAGGTTATCCAACCAGTTATGCACCAACTTTACAGTAGTTTCCTAGTTGTTATTAATGAGAGAATCATGAGAGACTGTATCAAATGCCTTACTAAAGTCTACCAGTTTCCGCTTATCCACAAGGCTTGTTATCCTATCAAACTAAGCTGTCTGATGGTTTGACAAGATTTGTTCTGGACAAATACACGCTGACTATTAATTATCAACATCTTATCGTCTAGATGTTTGCAAATGAATTCCTTAATTATTTGTTGCATTCTCTTTCCTGTTTGGTGTGTAAGGTTGGCATTATTCACCTTTTTATGGATGGGCACTGTATTTGCTCTTTTCCAGTCTTCTGGAATCTCTCTCATTCCATAACTATACAAAGATAATAGCTAATGCTTATATATCCTCTATCAACATCTTGAGTGTTCTAGGATGCATTTCACCAGGCCCTGGCAACTTGAGGCCATCTAGTTTTCCAAGTAATTTTTAACTTGTTCTTTCCCTCTTATAACTTCTGAACCTACCCCGTTTTCACTGGCATTCACTAGGTTAGGCATCCAGTTTCCACCAACATTGAAAATTGGAACAAAGAAGTCATTAAGCACCTCTGTTACTTCCAGATTTTCTGTTTTCTTCATTGAATAACAGGCCTACCATGTACTTGGTCTTCCTCCTGTTTATAACATATTGGGGGAGGGGGGAATTGTTACTCTTTTTCTCTAGCTAGTTTGATATTATTTTGTGCCTTGGCCTTCCTAATTTCCACCTATGTGCTTGCGGTTTTCATATTCATCCTTTGTAATTTGACCTAGTTTCCACTTTTTGTAGGACTCCTTTTTGAATTTTAGATCATCAAGAAACTCCTGGTTAATCCAGGGTGCTTTCTTGCCATACCTGCTATCTTTCCTAAGTAGTTGAATAGTTTGCTCTTGTCCCCTCAATAATATTTTAACAAAACTGCCACCTGTTTTCAAATGTTTTTCCTTTTAGATTGCCTCACTTGGGATTTTGCCTATCAATTCCCTGAGTTTTATTAGTCTGCCTTCTTGAAATCCAATCTTTATTTTGCTATTCTCCTTCC